ATAGGGGAGAGTTGGGAGCTGGAGGACTCTGAGGATAAGGAAATGTGGCAATAATATAAGAAAGCTAAAGGGGCAGGGAGCCTGGTTCCTGGGGTCAGAGGGTTCAAGGTCAAGTACACAATGACCACTTCTTAGATCTGTGACCTTGGGAGAGTCGCTTTTCCTCTCTAGACCCTATTGTCTAAACCCTAGTGTCCTTGTTTATAAAATGAGGTTAATAAAACCTCCTTGACCTAGTAGAATGGTTGTACAGACAATAAGAAAACAAATAGACAAGAGCTTTGTAAAAGTGTCCAGCAATTATTATCTCATCATTTGTCCCATTTAACATTCTTCCCAGCAAAGAGAGAAGAGAAGGCTAGTGGAGACTATCACCTGGATCGGGGATGTAGGAATGGAGTGGTGTTACTGGAGAGGGGTCCTGATCCAGACCCCAACAGAGGGTTCTTGGACCTCACACAAGAAAAAATTGGGGGCAAGTTTAAAAGGTAAAGTGAAAGCAAGTTTTAAAAAAGTAAAGGAATAAAAGAATGGCTACTCCATAGGCAGAGCAGCGGTGTGGGCTGTTCGACTGATTATACTTATCGTTATTTCTTGATTATATGCTAAATAAGGGGTGGGTTATTCATGAGTTTTCCAGGAAAGGTGTGGGCGATTCCCGGATCTGAGGGTTCTTCCCCTTTTAGACCATATAGGGTAACTTCCTGACATTTGTGAACTGTCATGGCACTGGTAGGAGTGTCTTTTAGCATGCTAATACATTGTAATTAGTGTATAATGAGGAGTGAGGATGACCAGAGGTCACTTTCATCGCCATCTTGGTTTTGGTGGGTTTTGGCCAGCTTCTTTACCTCAACCTATTTTATCAGCAAGGTCTTGTGACCTGTATCTTCTGCTGACCTTCTATCTCATCCTGTGACTAAGAATGCCTAACCTCCTGGGAATGCAGCCCAGCAGGTCTCAGCCTTATTTTACCCAGTCCCTGTTCAAGATGGAGTTGCTCTGGTTCAAGATGGAGTTGCTCTGGTTCA